ACTTCCCGCAAGACATCCCTAAGAAGCCACAAGGACCTACCCCGATGCAGCCCTGGGTGCTGGAGCAGCTGTATGGAGACCCCTGCTAGCGCTGAGATGCATGCACGTTCACTGACTCAGCTTTCCTCCTGAAGTCCGCGTCATTGCGTATGTTTTGTGAGATGGAGGAGGTCTTTGTGGATTGGTGTTGGACAAAGGGGTTAATGTTGGACTTGGGGGTTTGGGCAGCACTGGGTTGGGATGTTTTCTTGATGTGCACTTCACCTTTATATAAAACTCCCTCTTATACATGTGCGGAATGGTTTCTCTAATGTACCGAGACTAACACGAGGTCTTTTCTTATGCTACATGTTCCCATTTGTGTCGTCAGGCTCTCCCTTTGTTTTTACATATCTAAATCTTGTCTGATCTTCAAGGTCCAATTCCAATACTAACAATCCCACAAGGATGTGCTAAACACATACAAGGGGGGAGTACTCCCCAAAATGGATTTTCTTTTCAAAGCTATGTATTGTATATACTTGTGTATAAGCCAAGTTTTTCATTTACATTTTAAATGCAGTTTTTGTGGTAAATAAAATTAGATGCCTCAGCTGATATTCAGGTTGGCTTATACTCGAGTATATGTGGTATTTAAATTTTTTGATAAAACAACCTTATCACTTTTTTTAAAAATTGGGGGCTTTTACATCTCATCCCAATCCATACATTCATCCATGTATCAAGCACCTTTTACATGTAGCCAACATTATTTTTAAAGCATCTTCTTTCTACTTGAGCCCTTGATGTCACTCCTTATTGTTCCCTTTCCCTCCCTCCCTCATGAATCCTTGATGTTATAAATTATTATTTTCAGATCTTACATCATCCTCTGTCACCCTTCACCCACTTTTCTGTTGTTCATCGCCCTGGGAGGGGGCTATATGTTGATCCTTGTGATCGATTCCTCCTTTCTCCCCCCACCTTCCCCTTATCTTCCTGGTACCTGTTCTCAATGTTGGCCCTGAGGGGTTTATTTTTCCTGGATTTCCTGTGTTGTGGGCTCTAATCTGTAGCAGTGTGCATGTTCTGATCTAATCCGATTTGTAAAGTAGAATTAAGGCAAGGATGGTAGAGGGAGGAAGCATTAAAGAACTACAGGAAAGTTGTATGTTTCATCGGTGCTATACTGCACCCTGACTGGCTCATCTCTTCCTTGTGACCCTTCTGTGAGGGGATGTCCAATAGTCTTTGGGTCTCCAATCCACGTCCCCACCCCACCCCCCATTCATATTGGTATGATTTTGTTCTGGGTCTTAGGTACCTGATACCTGAACCCATCGACGCCCCATGATCACACAAGCTGGTGTACTTCTTCCATGTGGGTTTTGTTGCTTCTCAGCTAGATGGCCGCATGTTTATCTTCAATCCTTTAAGACCCCTGATGCTATATCTTTTGATAGCCAGGCACTATCAGCTTTCTTCACCACATTTGCAATACACCCATTTT